GGAAAACCTGAATGGATTTAGTTTTTGAATCATCCCCATGATTATTCCGGGATCCTGAGAATGAATGAATGAATAAATAAATAAATAAAACAGCCAACCAAAGCCATCATCACATTACCAGGGTCATTATCGTAAGCTAAAACTAAAGTCATTAATAGTAAAAACTGAAACAAAATCAAATGAAAACATAAACTTACTTATTTAATCTGCAACATTTCTTAAGTTTTATTTATTTATATTTTTAACCATGTTTCTAGAAATAAAATGTTAAACACATATCAGGTGAATGATATATGAACAAATCCCTCAGTAAAACCCTTCAGAATATAGAGAGGAATAAACCTGCTAAGCTTGGTGTCTGTAAGTGCTGCTGAAGTGAAGATACAAGCTCATTTGGAGAAAATGGATCTCAAAGATATGTACTGTAATTTAAATCTACAGACACAAATTGATAAAGTGCAATAAAATAAACTGTTATATTTTTTCTGTTATATTCCAAACTTGACCAGTGCATGAAAAAATGTTTTTTCCTGGTGTGTCTTGCCTTAATTTACTCATCACAACTGTGCTGACAAGTTTTACTGATTAAATATATTCCTCTAAACGTGTTCTTGAATGTTTTATGAATAACATTCATACAAGCCGATGAACACAATGTATTCCTTCAGTTAAACAGAAGGACATCCAGACCTGTTTGTGTTCGGTATCTTTGCTCTCTGCTGCCTCTCCTGTCCAGGTAGAAGAACTGCATACAGGTGTGTCCTACAGCAGCAACGCAACGTATGGTTCAATATATAAGACACAGACATATAAACATACCCAAACTTGGACATTTATTCACATCTCACTTTCACAAAAGCACAACCTTATGAGACTAGGTTTGCATTTTCTGAAGGAAACACTAGAGCATGCAAAGCAAGAGAAGATTCAGGAAAGCAGAGGAATGAGTTTAAAGTCTGTAAACACAAAACAGACAGCAGTCTAACAAGGTTTCTAGGGAAATGCGAATGAATAAAAGAAAAAGATGTCAATACCGCATAGCCTAAAATAACACATGATAATGAGAAAAATAAGCCTCACCTGTTTGCCATCATTATTTGCTAAAGCTTTGGTTATGGCAGAGCTCTGGCATTAGAAAATAGCAATATCAATAACATATCAATACTTATACTTTATTAGGTCATTTTCTAAACCCTTAAAGTCATTTTACAATACATTTACACATTTTCTGTTTACATTTAACAAAAAACGAGGCCAAAATGTGAGTGTGTGTGTGTGTGTGTGTGTGTGTGTGTGTGTGTG